AGTAAAAATAAAAAGTAGAAAAATTATTTTTAAATATTTAATTTTATTGTATTTCTAATGAAATAAGAAACATGTAAATCCGAATTACTACAAGTAAGTTATGAAGTTTTAAAAATATGAAATAAATAATTAAAAAGTAAAGTGAAAATATTTTACCTCAAAGATAACTTGCTTATAGATCAAGGGTTCGAGCCTCACTAAGGGTCACATATAGTGTATAAAGGCATCTAAGAGAAACCACGATGCCTTAGTCTTATCCTCTTAATTATCTTCAAAGTACTACAACCCATATAGACTTATGCACTTCTCTTCTTACAAGGACTATACTAGCTGGTGGACCTCCTATTTTCTACTAGAAGGACCAATATTTTTGCAATTTTGACTTGACCATGGTATTCAAAAACACCCACTTAGATTATGAACCTTGTCTGACCTTCAAACCTTGCTCCATTTCTTCATAAAGGCTCCCAAATTGATAAAACTGATTTTTACCAAGATCTTGAAAATTGCTCTTTTTTATACCAATAATTAAAATGACATGATGTTCTTTTTCATACTTCTTCTAACTATTAACATTTATAGTTTTTATAAGTAGTATATATATATATATATATATATATAAAAGACTAATATAAATATTGGTCTTACTAATAATCCATAATATTCAATAATGAATAAAAATTATATTCAAAATATCTATACCTAGTTCGAATAGCAGTCTTCCATTCAACTCCTTCTTTGATACAAACTATGTTGTATGCTTCTCGTAGATCTATTTTGGTATAGATCTTTACTTGATTGAGTTGGTCAAGAAGTCCTGAAATCAAAGGCAAAAGATTCCTATTCTTAATGGTGATCTTATTGAGTCCTCGATAATCCACACACATTCGTAGAGATCTGTCTTTCTTCTTCACAAATAAGATAGGAGCCCGAGTTGGAGATTTAGAATGGCATATGAAGTTCTTTGTGTAGTTTTCATCAATATATTTCTTTAATGTAGCCAATTCATTCTACAATAAGCTATAGATTGGTTCGAATGGTAGTTGAGCTCTTTTTTACAAATCAATTGAATAATTATAAGGTTAATGCTTTGGAAGAATATCTGCATTCTTCTTTTCAAAAACATCTTGAAATTCTTAATATTGGCTAAGAATACCACTTAATATTTTTTTCATCATTCGAAATTAGTGTAGCATATATAGCAAAAGAAAATCTTTCTTTTGTAGCATGCATAAAAGCTCTCATACCTACTAATAAAGGTTTGGATATACTAGACTTATGTACTTCTACTTCACTAAACTAATCTTAAATTTTACTACCAAAAAAATTAAGATTACGAGAAATCCAATCTATTTGAAGGTTATATTTTTTTATCCACGATAATCCTAAAATACTTGGATTGTAGAGAGATCTTATTATATTAAATACTACTACATTGTTATGATCTTAAATTGTTATATCTGAAGAAACAATCTGATAAGTAATATTTTCAAAAAATAACAAATGACTATCTATGACTTCTATATGTATGGATTTAGTTTTCTTGACTAAAGGTATTTTTTGATTTTTGACAAAATCTTTGTTTATAAAAGAGGTTGAGGCTCTTGAATCTAAAAAAGCAAAGACTTTGTGATTTTTAGGTTCTAAACATACATCTATTATAAAACAAGATGAAGGGTGTGAGGAAAGAATATGACCTTTATTAGATATTGCATATGATTTCTGTCGCATGGTTTCTATTGTAGCTAGAAAAACTTGTTTATAGACATATTATCTTCTTTGGTAATTAAGCTCCTCATTTTGTAATTGTGTTGCTTCTTTGGACAATGTTGAGAAATGTGCTTAGCTTCTCCATAATATAAACACAAACCCTCTTAGCAATGTCAAGTCTTTTTTTGCTCTATGAGGGGCTCAAAATGTATCATATCAATTTACATTGGTTTTAGCTTTCATGAATATGTTTCAAAATACTTAGGAATTACCTCCTTTACTTCACTTATTCCTCTCCAATCAAGTTTTTGTTCTTCATACCTTTTAAATAATCAATTGTCGCATGAAATGGCTTAAGCAATAATTTATTCCAAAGATTTTGCTTTTAGCATTGTTAATAACAAATCTTTGATGCTATCCTTCAACCCATATTGAAATTGATTAATAAGTGCTTTGTCATTCTAGTCCACGTCACAAGCGAGGTTTTTGAATTCAGCAGCATATATAGTGGTTGATCATGATTCTTATCATAAAGATGAGGGTTTGGTCTCTACTACTTATTTTTGATGATTTGCTCCAAATGTAGCCGTGAATACTTCTAAGGATGAATTTAAATCATAAAGAAGTCATGATTCTTTTTTTATTAGAGGTGCAAATCAAAAAAATGCACCTCTAGATAGAAGTACACCTATGAAGCCAACTTGACTAAATCCATCCGCATATTGGAAACAACGTAACCTTAAATATAGCTTAACTTGTTGTAAAAACCTTCAAAATTTTGATCTTGTTCCATCAAACTTCTTGGGCATACTAATTCTTGCTTCTCTTGAGCTTGTAGAAGCAAGACCTCCTAAATTTGGTTGTGAGATTGATCGACTTGTTTTCTTCACCTACAGAATTTTTTGATGTAAAATATGGACTTCTTTGATAGATATAGAAGTAGTGCTCTCATGGTTGATATTGGTGATGCATGAAATTTCTACCCTAAGAGTGTTGACAAGCTCGTAAAGATCTACAATAATTACAAATCTATTCTCACTTCCACTAGGAGTAGCATCTATATTCTTTTCTTCCATAGAAAACTCAATCAAATCTAAAAAGCTAAATTAAAGGATGGTAATCTGCAACCTCTGATAAAAATTTCCGCAAAGAATGATAATCTACTTTCTTTAAAGAAAAAATTAGTGTTAGAAAATAAGACTTTTTATTTAAAGGTGGATAGTCTGCAATCTTCAAAATACAACAATAGAAGTAGGATAATCCACTCACTTCTAAAACAAGACAAAAATAATATGTTAGTAGTCTTGTCAAACTGTCAAGGACATGAATCTCAAAGAAAGAAAATCCCCAATGCATTCTTGTGTCACTAAAAAGAACTAGAAAGTCACTCAAAGATGATATATTATTAAACTAGAATGGCTATTGCCAAAGACAAGAACACTAAAAAGTCTTGGAATAAGACTTAGGACTAGATTGGCATTGACAAGAGTGAAGAAGGTTTCACTCTTGCCTCCATATATACTCTTAACTAGGAGTTACATGGCGATGTCCTATAGGACCTCCAAAACGTATTGACTTTACTAGCCACATGTCTTAACTTGCAAGGTAAGTTATCTATGTATGTACTATACAGTTAGCTTGTTCCACAAGCTACTACACGGAGTTAACTTGTTCCACAAGCTACCAACACTTGATTAACTTGTTGGCCAAGTTTCTATTGTACAAATACATCTCACGTCAAAATCACATTTATAAAGCTTCTAATAAGCTTTCATACAAAACTTTATAAAATTAATCTATATTTATCTATTTCTACCTAATCATAAAAGTAACTATTGGGATAAATGTATATTTTTGTGATACAATGTTGCCCCATAACTCCTAATTAGATAGTATTTACAGAGGCAAGAATGAAAACTTCTTCACTCTTTTCAATGCCTTTCTTATTATTACTCTTGTTTCAAGAATCTCTAATTGTTTTGTCTTTGTCAATAGTCATTCTAGTCTTTTTATTACACCATCTTTGAGTAAATATTTGTTCTTTTCTATTGACACAAAAGTATATTGACATTTTGGTTGTTTTTGATTATATCCTTGATATATTTATAACACAAGTATATACATGTATATATATAACCAACTTAAATTTAAAGACCTTAATTGCAATGCTATAATAATAATAGAAATTATGACTATTATTATAAGAAAAATACAAAAAGAAGTACAAAAATAAAATATTTTTTCTTGTTAACTATTAAATGAAATCTAAGTTAAAAAATCAATAACATTATTGTTAGACTTGATAAAAAGATACTTTATAATTAATACCAAATAATATTAAAAATAAAATAAAAATATATTATAAAAATAATTTTATATTATTTTAAAATTATTATTTATCTATTGAGTTTTATTTTAAGTATATTATGAATATATATATATATATATATATATATATGAAATATGCTACTTAAGCATACAATTGATTTTTCTTTTTTTTTTTTTTTTTTTTTTTTTGTATTAAAATTGCTTAAAGAAATTTCAGTTGATACTCTGAAACATTATATTATGCAATCAAAATATATTTATTATCCAGATTTGAGTACTAAGACACATATCTTAAAATCAGTCTTTAACAATTTTGAGGCTATGTATTACTTTTCAAAAACTCAACTCATTTCAATTGTTTTAGAGGAGCTATGTGTTTTAAACAACCTTAAAACATTGAAAAAGATGGAGGTGGATGCCCAAAAAAAATTGTTATTAATTGAGGTCATAGAAGTTTATGTAGACCTGAAAAAAAAAAAAAAAAAAAAAAAAATTCCAAAGTAGCTTCATAAGTTGGTTTCCATTTCAATGAAATGATACAGGTGAGTTAAAAATTTTAAAAAATACAATAAAAAATAATTTGATGAGCAATACAATAAATATTACAAATTTTGAAAATATATTGGAGTATATCTATATATATATATATATATATACTATCCAAAGGTGTAAAACTGAAAACCAATTTTTTGGTGGAGTTGGCACTGTCAAAATGATGTCAGTCAAGAAAGAAGATTATGGAAATAATAAATATACCTAATAAAATAAAAATGTGAAAATTACATCAAAATGGATTGGAACACCAAGTAAAATAAACATATTGTGCACATTGAAGAATAATTTTTTCAAGTATTTCATATTTCAAAATATTGAGTACCTTGGATATGTGGTCAAGACCATTAATTGGCAATAGATACAATAAAAATGAATAAAATGGTATTCTTAAAAAAATTATACTGATATCAACAAAAAAAAAATTGTATTATATGTATTCTCTTAAAATTTAAAATGGTGGACAAGGTGATTTCATTACTAGACTTTGCTAAGTGCTACATTCTGAAAATTCTTACAATTAATTAAGGCTACAAAAAGGTGAAAAATCATCCAAAAGAAGCTTCACCCAAGTTGGAGTTTCAATCATTGAAGACACATTTAAAATAGAGAATTCTAAATGAGTAGCATTTACCATTTCCATCAGCTGGACATTTGCTCCATTCTTGTAGTGGACAACTTGAGCTGCAAACCAAACATAGATGAATGAATGTTTGAAGGCAAAATGAACCAAATAAAACAACCCTAAATCTCGAACTTTTACACAACAAACCTCGTGTGTTCCGGCACGATCAAGTTTGGGCAGAGGTAGTGGATGAGAATTCGAGCTTGAAAGGAGATGGGCTCTGGAGCTTCCATGGCGTGGCAGCTCATTCATGGGCGGTTTTTCATAGCATCGAAGCAACATATCTGAGCTTCTAGACACAAAAAGCGTGGACAGCTTCCGCTAAATGCTGTGGGATCGAGATGTGGGTCATGGTGGGGGCGAATGTCATCAGTCACAAATCGTGCGTAAGCTGAAGCTGCCATCACCGGAGGCGAATCTAGCATCAGGCCACCATGCGACACTTCTGATGCAAGTTTTCGGTAGAATGTTTTGACCTTGTTGCCGAGGCAGCGTCACCACAGGCGCCGGAAGTGGATGACGTTGGTGGTGGTGGTGGTGGTGTGAGCTCCAGCAGCATCATTATCATTATCAACAGCAGCCATTGTGTTCCTCATGGATGAAAGAGCGATAGAGACAGAGAGAGAGCGAGGGAGGAGGAATTCACATACAATTGTGCAAGTTGTGGTTGCCGCCCTCAATTGGTCTTCGGCTTTGGACCCATTTGAATTTTAGGATACCACCTTCATTCCACATCTGGAAACTACCTCCTCCAACTTGCACACCCCATTTTACTATTTTATGGCGCTGCTCTAGCCAGATGAATGCATCTCGCTCCGTCATCGACAGTCAGCCACAGAACCCATTCTAATTTAAATTGAGGACTCCATCCCATCGTAGCACGGATTTACTTGGAAGCCTTTTATAAGAAACGAGATGTAGGTCTCAGTGTGAATGCCGCACCTGGAGCGTCTCCGAACGTCACTATCACTCCTTTGCAACGCTACAAGAAGCGCATCGAAATCCAGGCGATAGTGAAGTAGTGGAGTACTAGAATCTGGACACATAGCGTGAAATGGCTCCAATCCAAAGGTTTAAAACGCTAGTCAATGTGGAGCCGCGGGGCCTGTGGAAGCACCTCAAGAGGCGGGTTTCGTTGCAAGGATCGATGTCTAGGTACAACCTTGTTCTGTGCGTGTTGAGAAGTTTCAAGGATGCGGGGAAGACAAAAGGTGCCGAAACCCAGAGCTCCTTCCCTCTCAGATTCCAAAAAACGAGCAATCAAGTCCCACATGGACCTGGGTAACCGCCCGAAGTCGCTGTCTGGGAGGAGGAAGGTGCAAAGTCACTCTGCCTACAGGCTAAAAATAGTCCTCCAGTGGCTGTGCCAGGCACACGGCACCGATGAGCAGAGTGCCGGCACTTATGCTAACCGCCCCACGAGGAGCCATTCACGAAGCGAGAAACCCCCATCTCATCGTGTTCGCGTGAAGCTCAGATGATGGAGTTGGAAGGGATGGTGGGATGTGGTCATGAACCCCTCCGGAAGCATTGTCTTGGAAGCGAGAAGTGTTGCATGGGAGAAATTTGGTCGTAGGGTTTATCCATGTTTCATGTTCTATGACCAACTTATTTGAATAATCCCAAAAACAGAGCCTCAATCTATCAGCAACCAACCACCACAGCAGGCGTCAAGATGCTGATACAGCACCTGTGAAGCCTGATACAACAGCAAGAGACTAGGTTCCACAATCGCAGCAGAATATTTATTTTATTTTTTATGCAACATGGTATTGGTTGATACAAACAAATATAAAAAATAAAAAATAACTGGAGAGGGTTCTGGCACGCTCCTCTTCAACTGAAACTTTTATTCTAGTATAATTTGTTACTACGCCTGGAAGAAGACAAAGTAGAGGGGGTGGAGCCCATAACCTTTGAACCACCCATGACGCATTCCGTCGAAATTCACTTAAAGTCACGGTAATCGGAACTTACATTTCTCCTGAGGATTACACCATGGCGCACTCCGATTGTCGCCTCCATCCTCTGAAGTTTTTTCCTCGCAACTATCTTCTTAGCTTGAAGCCTCCTAATGTAGCTGACAAAAAATAGCAACGTGCGTGTGAGCAGGTGGAGTTGTTCATTAATCGGGGCTTTTCTATAATTTTGGTACAGTTGACTCCATCTTCATGATCCGGCAAGGCATGTTTTTAGTTCAGTATTCTTTGTCTTTGTCCTTGGGGCATGCCTGGTCGAAAAGATATCACTCTGTGCGATGGGTCGTAGTGAGAAACACTAGAGGGTTATTAGAGCGCAGCGTTTTTAGGATTGCGGTTGCGGGGAATAGTGACTGAGCAGAGAGGAGAGGGTGAGAGAGGTTGTAACTCATGCCTAGAGTCTTGGGGTGGTGAAGAAGGAGGTGGTACGAGTGGTGTGAAGGGGAAAAGAAGGAGACGTGGATTTTTGAGCGGGCGTGGTCGGGCGCATGCAATGTGTTGATTGATCAATGGGACTTTGAAGGTACGGAGTTTAGGACTAGCAGGGCGGCAGGAATGAGGATTAGAAGCTCGATGACGAATAGCCGGAGTTGTGAGCAGCTTTGATTCACTCTTGTGGTCGTTCCGATTTGCGTGGACTTGGCGGATTTCCGCCGAGTTACATCGATGGTCTACAGCATGTGGCATCTCCGAACTTGTCTGAGGTTAGTTACGTCAATGGCTTTCTTTTCCCTTGTGCTTCACCTTGGGTTCTGTACCGGCTTCTCATTGATCCATCAATGAGAGAGAGAGCGAGAGAGCGAGGGAGAGAGAGGTATAGAATGCGGCGTTCTATTTTGTTTAGTTGCTTCTCACGCAGACGCCCATTATTTCGTCGCAGTTTAGAAAATGGAACGGTGGAAAGAGTATCTTTTACGCGCGTGCCTCCGAAATAAAGATTTTCGATGAGCGAAATTGTATTTGCCGGCTTCTCAATCTTTGTCGCAAATGTTGTTCTTATGGCTCTCCTGCGAAACGAAATTGACCACTCCCGTCTTGTCTGGCGAAACATTTCTAGCGCATCCATGAAGAATTCTGTAAATAGATAAAAATGTCGGGGGTAATTTGCAGTGATCGGTAATGATAATTTTGATTTTTGACTCGCCACCTAACCTCCTCAAGTTTGCAGCTCGTCTCTTAGACTGTCTTTCTTAACATAATTTATCTTTTGTTTTTGGTTTTTCGGTTTTTATTTTTATTTTTATTTTTCTTGGGTGTGGGTGTTTGTGCAAACCTCTTATCTCTGACGTCTTAGTAGCTTAGACTTTGATGTTAATTAGGTAACCCCAGTCTTGGATCTTGTAGCTCGTGGAGGACGGCCGAGAGCCCGAATACAGCCAGAACCTGCCTTTACACTTGCGCTCTAACGGTGTAGAAGCATCACTGCATTTAATGCAGATGCTGTACTACCCTGCGCCTTCAATGGCCGGGCATCAATTGCTGTACCTGCCTAATGGTACACAGGATGTGGCCTTAGTCGTTCAAATTTTCTGTCGGGGTCTGAATTGATTTCTGACCTCATCTTTACCCGTTGTCCTGCGTATCAACTGTTTCAATATCTGCGGGTCCCGCTGTAGCTCAGAACATTGTCCAATGGGTTATGAGTTCACAGCTTTTTTCACGGGCAAGACCAATGAATTCACTTAGCCTATTCCAACTTGTCCAGAAGAGTATTCTAGACGTATGCCGCTGTTTATCTACAACATTGTTGCATGTTTAGAATTATTCCAGTTGCCGAAAGTCAACGTAGCTCGTGTGGTTGTGGCTGCTTCCTGGGTCAACTCTCCCATCGCTTGAATATTCTTGTCGCGAATGCACAGTTTGTAACGGTCAGTGACATGCTGAAGAGACTCTCACGCTTCATTTCGTTGATGTTGGTATGGTTCTTACTCTGTAGTCCACTGGGTTTGAAATGGTCTACAAGGGGTAAAAAGCTGATAATTTGATGAACTTTGCAGTATTTTAGAATGTTTTCTGTACTGACAGACACTGACTGGCGCTGAGAATAGAATTCTGCAAGTTGTTGCTGGTGATAACTGGTGTGTTTGATCGAAGTTGGAGTAAGAGTGATTAATTAGGCAGTTACCTTGCGGAATAGAGCAGGACAGATAAACCTGGTTACACTGTTATGCCTCAATTTGATGCATTTCCATGTGGAGCTATGTTTCCTCCTTGCATTCTTCATGCTCTGGGAATACTTAGCTGCGTTTTGACTTGATATCTTCACATATGAAATGCTTCCTGCTTTATCTTAAGAAAAGCCTTTGTTTGTTATCAGACAAAATGGGCTGTCGAACGTCTTTAAGAAAGCAAGGACGGTAACGCCAGATGTTTACTCGTCGCCTCGATATTGTCACCGATCGTCTCTTCATAGAGAATCAAGCACATGTCCATCTTGGGGAGACAGGTGCATTTTATCACTTTTCTCTGACTTATGACTCCCGAAAGTCAGTAATAACTGGTCAGAGTTATGGATCCATTGTACGTGAACCACTTGTCCGTTTTTCCATCTTTCCACACTGGTCTTTACATGCATCGAGTTGGATTAATTTGCAACCTGTATTTGGCATATCGTGGGGTATTGCGTGGGACGTTTGAATGCTAGTAAGATCCTCTCTCACAATGCCTCAGAGGTGTTGTTCTTGGTTGTATGGATGAAATCAGTGCTTGTAAGCTCATCACAGGTTTGCAGGCAAAGTGGTGGTCGTGACGGGTGGCGCAAGTGGTATAGGGGAGGCGACAGCTCGCCTGTTCGCCAAGAATGGCGCCTACGTTGTCATTGCGGACATCAACACTGAGGGAGGAAGCCAGCTCTCATCAGAGCTCGGCTCGCAGGCCCAATTCGTACACTGTGACGTCAGAAAAGAGAGAGATGTCGCCTCTTTGGTGGACGAAGCCGTGAGGTGGAAGGGGAAGCTCGACGTCTACTTCAGCAATGCGGGGTTCGTTGGCGCTTTGGGCTCGATTGATGAGCTGAACTTAGACGACTTCGACGAGACCCTGGCGGTCAATTTGCGAGGCGCAGTTGTGGGCATCAAACACGCCACCAGGGTGATGAAGCCCGTCAAGAGTGGCGCCATTGTTTGCACGGGCAGCACTGCGAGCCAAATGGGCGGATTGGGTCCTCACACGTACTGTGTTAGCAAGACGGCGCTGAAGGGTTTGGTCAGATCCACAGCTCTGGAACTTCGAAGTTACGGTATTCGAGTGAACATGGTCTCTCCTGACGCCACTGCCACGCCCATGTTCCAGCGCGTGATGGAAGACTCTACCGGTGAACCTTACACTCTGGAGCAAATTAAGGAAAGAATGGCGAAGAAAGCTCTGTTGCCGAATCGGCCATTGACAAGCCTTGATGTGGCCAACGCCGTCTTGTTTCTGTGCAGTGATGAAGCGGGGTACATTAGTGGCCATAATCTTCTCCTCGATGCGGCCAGGACTGTGGGTTTGCCTATACCGCCTGGTTTCAGTCACTGGTTTGAGGGATACTCTCCAATACTGAAGTGATCCATTTTGTCAACTCTTGATGAAAAATGATTCCATACAGATAGCCTGCAAATGGAGATGCTTGCTGGGCGAGATGTGGAAGATTTCTATTGATCAAGCTGGTGGAAGTTCGAGGTTCAGACGATTTTTTCCTGGTTTTCGTAAGCATAGTGGTTGGATCATTAGACGCTAATGTAGTAGCAAGTCATTCGGAGCTACTATAAACTTGGACGTTTTTTATTCAATTCTTGTGAATTCTCATCTACGATACCACGTTTGAATTCCGTGCACTAGTTTCTATGATCAAACAAGCAACTTTGTCTCAGTTCTAAAAAAAAGGGAATAAAAAGGGAATATTGTCCATAGTTAACTCCCTCAATGAAGCTTCCATCATTGATATCTCTTATTTTAGTAAAAGCCCAGAGAAATCCTTGAAAACTTCGCCCAGCATGATGGAAGAATTCAAACACGGTATTGTATCCCTGATACTTTGCTTGAAAAGAGTGGCAGTTTATCACACAAGATAGGAAAACACGAGAATTCTAAATGAATGGGACGGTGGATAGAATGTAAAATTGCTGAACGAAGTGAAAATTCTGGTAAAGTTGTTTGTGTTGAAAGCAAATTTTCACGCAGACGCAGAAAAACTGAAATTCAAGACTATCAAACATTAGGTGCACGTTTCTCCAGATAAAGCGTGACTGGTGTATATAATATTTGGATAAATAAAAAATTCCCAACCTTACACACTTTGCAAATCTATGGTTTGGACAAAGGCAGGAATATTACAGGCAAATTTGACCCACTTCAATTTATCCAATTTGACCAGGTAGAATTGAGCAAGAGGAAAATATCATGTTGTAGATAAAGATGGTACTAGGTTGGAAGAAATAGCATGTTTTAGGATTAGGTTTCAAGTTTCGTTGTAAAGTACAAGTAAGAAAAAGAACATAGTGTAAATTAGAAATAGGAAGACCACACAAGAACAAGAAAATAGAAAGATCATGAACAATAAAATTAAATTAAAAGATGTTTGATTTCTGTAGAAAAGCATGAGAAGAATGAAGTAGAATTCAATAATGCAAGTTAGTAAGATTGGATACTTACTCAACAAGGCATACAATTTTTTCAAAAATAAAGACTTGAAAATATAAACAAGGTACTTTTAGAATATTGAACTTTCTTGTGTTATTAATATGATTTTTTTGAATTATAATGTGCAATTGAATGTTAGAAATCTAAAGTAGGAAGAAGAGTTGAACTTTTTATTAAGAGAAGAAAACATAGAAGAGCATAATAGTTTTAGAAAATCTTTGAAAGACAAGCTAAGTTTTAAAAGTGAATATTTGAATTTTAAGGTATTAATTTTTTTTAGCATTTAAAAAAAAAAAAATTGTAGGATAAGGAAGATATATTAAGTATAAATTAGAACCAAATAGTATGTGGAATTGACTGTATTAGTTTGATGTAAATGTGGCAGACTTAGAAGCAACCATGAATTAATTATTCTCAAAAAGCACCTAATTGATATGTAACTTAAATTAAATCATTGACTAGAAAAAATATACCATTCATATTTAGCAACTATATTAAAATTTAAATAAAAAATATTTAAAATAGGGCATTTAGATTATATCCACTTAAAGAAATTAGATGTAACATTATAGGGTTGAAATTAAATATAATTGTCTTTTTTAGAAAAGAAGATTACAACACTAAATATAAATTTGGAAATTATAGTCTTAGTGATCTAAAAACTTTAAGATCTCATGATTCAACTGATTTGGCTCTAATAAAATCTCTTATTAAGTCAAAATTAAATAAAAAAATCATAGTAGAGTAGTATAAAAAAATTAAATACCTTGTAGAAAATATTAGAAATAATAAAATGGAAAAAAAAAAGATAAAAGATTAACAAAAAATAATGATATATCTAAATAAAAACATAATAACATTAGAACTAATAAAAAGATCAAGCCAAAATTTTCTTAATGGATGTATAATGGTTGAGACATATATCTAAAGTAAAAAAGAATCCAACGATTGATAAAATTTAATAAACTTATTTAAACCAAAATCATAGAAATCTATAAGTGTTAGGGACATAATCCTTAGAACCTTCTAGAGACAAGTTTCTAAAACCTTCTAGAGACAAGTTTCTAGAACCTTTTAGAAGCATGTCTCTAGAACCTTCTAGAAGCTTCTTAGTTGGTAGAAGATATTAGGGACATAGTGTCACGGCCATAATCATGTAAGCTAATAATTACATATAGAAATAGGTAGAAGTAAGTAAAAGTAGATAAAAGTAAGTTAATTATATAATATTTAATATAGAAGCTTCCTAGAAACTTCCTAGACACTGCTTTGACTTCATAGGTATCTTTAATTGACTTTTTGGATTAGAGACGTGGTCAACAAGTTGGCCATGTGCCACACATCTTGTTAGCTTGAAGATCAAGCTAACTATGTGGCCCACACGTAGAAAAACTTGCCTTGTAAGTCAAGGCATGTGTCCTACAAAGTCAACACATATTGGAGGTCCTATAGAACGTCGCCACGTAGCCCCTAGTTAGATAGTATATATAGAGACAAGAGTGAAGGCTTCTTCACTCTTGTCAACTCCTTTCTTGCTTCTAGTCCAGGTTCAAGAGTCTTTAGTTTCTTGTCTTGTGGCAATAGCCATTCCAGTTTCCTTTTAATATACCTACTTGTTTATATTTTGACTTATTATATCGAGATAGCCTTTTGGTGTATATTTTTCCTCATCGAGTCTTTGTCCTTGACAGATTGACAAGAGTACACTTACAATATCAGAGCTTTGTTTTTTCTTGAGTAAGAGTGGATTACTCCTTTCTCTTGACAAGACATAAGCGTATTAGAAGTTTGCGGATTACCCACTTCTAAACTGATATTGTTCTTAGTATCTTCTTTGTTATCAAGTCTTTCTTTTCTTTTGTCTTGAGCAATATCAAACAAATTTTTCTTCTTAGTATCATTATGGCAGAACTTGTTGAAATGAAGAGTGCAATGGCACAAATGCAAGAGCAAATGAGGGAGTTAATGCTTGCGATGCATCAACTCAATTCACCAACACATGAAAGAACAAGAATAGCAGAAAGTGGAGATATAGAGATGATCGGAGCTGCTTCAACATCTACAACAAATCACGTTCCTTCTCCAATTGTACAACACCCTATAAGCACTAGAGAACCAAGAATTGCCTTACCTGAGAAATTTGATGGTACGAGATCAAAGTTTCGAGGGTTCATCAATCAAGTACAATTGGCAATTGAACTTCAACCGCAAAGCTATCCAACTCCAGGATCACAAGTCAGGTTTATTGGCACTCTACTTTCTGGTTCTGCATTATCGTGGTTTTCGTCTTTTCTTGAACAACGAAATCCAATATTGGACAATTTGGAAGCTTTTTTGGCAGAGTTTCGATCTATGTATGGTGAACACGATGCAACTCGTGTTGCAACAAATAAGATCCGAATTCTGCGACAAGGAAATCGCTCAGTAACAGTATATGCTTCACAATTTTGACAACTTGCAATTGACATCAAGTGGGATGATGCTGCACTCATCAGTCAATTTCTTTATGGATTGCAATACGAAGTAAAGAAATTGATGCTCAACTTACCTGATCCTCAAACTTTGAGTCAAGCAATCGATTTTGCGGTAAAATGTGATAATCGACTTTTTGAATTTCGATCTGAGAATCATTCACGGGAACCTCAACGTTATTACTCAATGGCAACATCAACATCTTTGCCAAACGTACATTCGGAAGTAGAAGACATGCAAATTGACGCGGTACGTTTTAAACCCCTAACTGAGCAAGAAAAGATTCGTCGTCGTCAAGAAGGATTATGTTCATATTGCGGAGAACCTAAGCACACTGCTCAACATTGTCCAAAGAAACGACGCAACTATAAAATGAGGGATACGACGGTCAAAGAAGACAACATGTCGGAAAACGGATTCGTCCAGCTACAATAGGGACCGTGCAACTGGAACCTTGTACAATTCCTAATGGAGGTCCTATCCTCTCCTCAGAACCCTCTCCTTGTTTTATAATAGACTTATATTTAGGACCTAAGAATTACAAAGCCTCTGCTTTATTAGATTCGGGAGCCTCAGCATGTTTTTTAGATGAACAATTTGTTAAAAGTCGTAAAATACCCTTTGTATAGAAACCTAAACCAGTACATGTAGAAGTCATAGATGGTCGTCCCTTGTCTTCTGGAGATGTCACTCATGAAACTCATCCTATAAAAGTAACAATAGACGGTCATGATAGCTACATAGCTTTTAACATAATTAAATCCCCGTCTAATCCAGTTATTTTAGGTTTATCCTGGCTAGAAAAATATAACCCTCGAATAGATTGGAATTCGCGTAAACTTGACTTTTCCAAAAGCGTTATTAATAGTTCTACGAACCAAGTAAAAAATTATAAGTCTAGTACAGTAAAACCCGTACTGATAGGTGCAAAAGCATTTATACACGCAGCAAAAGAAGGATCAACTTTTGCTATTTATGCTGCACCTATTTTTGAAAACGTAAAGACTTCAAGTGGCATTCCAAGTCAATATCAGGAGTATCAAGACGTTTTTGAGAAAAAGAATGCAGATATTCTTCCTGAGCATCGTCCATATGATTGTTCAATCGACCTCAAGGAAGGAACTCAGCCACCATTTGGACCAATTTACAGTTTATCGCAAGATGAGATGGCTGAACTCAAGACATATATTGACGAGAATTTAGCGAAGAATTTCATACGCCATTCAAAATCTCCAGCAGGAGCTCCAATTCTATTCGTAAAGAAAAAAGATGGATCTTTACGAATGTGTGTTGACTATCGAGGACTCAACAAGATCACAATCAAGAACAGGTATCTATTACCTTTGATATCAGGACTCCTTGACCAGTTGAATCAAGCTAAGATCTATACAAAAATAGATCTAAGAGGAGCATATAATCTAGTACGGATCAAAGAAGGAGATGAATGGAAGACTGCGTTTCGAACCAGGTATGGACATTTCGAATATAATGTCATGCCCTTTGGACTCACGAATGCACCAGCTGCTTTTCAACATCTCATGAATGATGTATTTCGTGAATTCTTAGATAATTTTGTCGTCTGCTATCTAGACGATATCCTGATCTATTCCAAGAACGTCGAAGAACATGAAATACATGTTCGTCAAGTATTACAAAAACTTAGAGACGCAGGATTGTACGTCAAGATGGAAAAGTGTGTATTTCACACTACTCAAGTTGACTTTTTAGGATACATCATTTCAAATGATGGTCTCATGATGGATTCTAAGAAAGTCCAAACAATCGTGGATTGGAAGATTCCAAGGACAGTAA